TGATTAGCAGTTTTCATTTGGAACTGCCGTTCACGAATCATTTTTGAGGGGGGGGGGGCCGAATAATTATTCCGATACGAGGGAGAGCACCTCCGCTGTTGCCTTAGAGTAGAAGTTACGAGGCTGTTCGAATAAACAAAACAGAAACAAGGAGCCAATACATAACCGCACCTGCGATGAATATGGAAAAAAAAAAAAAAAAGCAATGTGTGTTCTCAGGTTTCAGTTTATCCAGCCAGCCGGTTTCTTGTACTGCTTATCTTCAGGGTTCATGGGGCACTGGAGTCTTGACTTAGAGCGAAAGGCAGACTGCACGCTGGATTGATCACCAGTCAGTCACACAGCACACAAGGAGACGGACTCACCATTTGCGCTCACGAGCACATGGTGACAGTTTCAGTTTACAGCATTCGAAGTCACAAGTCACACCATGCTCATAATAGCTCGGAGAACATTTTGTCCATGTGCTGTACTTAAAAGTTGATTCACAATGGTGTCATGAACTCCAGCATCCAGTCGTTGCACAAGTGGATGTGAGCATGATGTGAGCAATTTCATAAGCACGTTGTTAGTCTGGGCATTTGGATGCAAATGTGTGCGGTGTGATGCTGATGAACAAAGCGGACTTTTTTATTTTTTTTTTTTGGTTTGTTTTGTTTTAAACATACATTTGTTAAGAATGACATCTCATTGCAAGCACAATGCTGCCGCCCCTAAAATGACTTGAGCGTCTGATGAAACATCTTCAAGTGGTTTCATTGTACCGCTCTGAGTCAGATGAGGAACTTTACTGACACTTAAGTGCAGAGCTTGTTAGCGTAAATCATAGCCACAGTCCAATCCAATGGCTGCAACTCCGTATTTGTGTTTCGCTTGCACGGCCATAATGTGGCGAGGGGCACTTTCTGCAATTAGCAGCGCGAGCTCTGTCAAAAACAAGACAGCGGTTGCCGATGAAAGACCTCTGCTCGTGAAGCCCGACACAAATGCCACAATGTGGAATTTCTGTCAGTTAAATTGTGGTGCAACGTCAAACATTTTCCCTGTAGCAACGTAATCCAACGAGCCGAACTCAATACCACACATCATAATGTGTGGTATTGAGTATGATGTAACAAGCTGGCATGGTCAGCATTTTTTTTTTTAAATTCTGGGTCAGGGGAAACACTTCAGCTGTTATTCAAAGAGACGGAGGATTGGTTCCAAATGAAGTCAAAGGAACATTTTGTAATTTGTGAAATAACCGTAATTGATAAAACCTTAAATGGCAGCTCCGTTTCATTCTTGTAACCGATCGTTAAGACGAATTAGGTGTTATTTTTAACCCTGTGTGAGTGGCACTGCACAGACAAGTTCTATGCAGTTCCACTTACCGTAAGTTTAGATAAAGCTGTTGCTGGGAAGTGGAGGATATAGGTCACGTTTGAGGTTAGTGCATCAGCATGTTGGGTTTACACTTAACATGTATCATCGACTGTAGTAGCGCAGGGTGTGATGTACTTAGTCACTCAGCCCTTTAACGTGCGCAAGAATGTCAAGTGAAGCTAGACATGTTGGCAAATCCTTTATTTGATAAAGATGGAAAATAAATAGAAAAGTACATTCAAACAATAAATATTTCAGCCAAGACATTGGACTCAATATGATTCCAAAGTAGAGACTCTTTATAGGCACATACAGTCGGGCAGACTCATTGGCATTCACACAAGAGGTAAAAAAAATCATTTTAATGTACATATCTATCCCTTCTTCCTGAGATGAGCAAGTTCACATTGATGAGAGTCAGTGAGGTTTTCACGAGGGCACGGCGTGGTTCCGGACACGTTTCGAAGCCAGATATGTTTCAATGTAGTTAAAGAGCACGTCCAGCTCGCCCATAGCTTTGTACACGCCTTTGTTTTGCATCTGAGGGAAAACACGGGGCTGGCTTTAAAAAAACAGAAAGAAAGAAAACCGCACGCATGGAATTTGCGCAATGCAGCAAAACTCACCTGACTGTACGTCGTATTCAGTTTGATGATGTCAAACTGCTTCTGGCAGGCAAAGTATTTCCGCTGCATGAAGAAGAGGGAAAGTGTTTTTATTTAACACGTCTGCAGACTCCGACAAGCATATTCTCCACTTGACTTCCCCTTTTGGTGATCGGGATGATGCACATAATACGCCGCTTCTTTTTTTAATGCGTCACGCTCCTTCCAGTGAGCCACACAAGTGACCTCTTCCTTTTTTTTTTTTGGGTCATGCTCATGCATCTGCCTCATTTACACATGGAGCGTTGGGGATTTATCCCAAAATGAGGACGGGAGTTTTTGACACGATGCTTAAGGGAGTTAGTCAAACGCATGCTTTATGATGTTCATCGACAAAAACAGAACCTTCGTTTAGCTTGCAGTGGTTGAAAATTATCTAGCTAGCTAGCGAGCGAGCTAGCTGTCCAACAATCATGATGGACAGCGAACTAGCTAGCTAGCGAGCTAGTTGTCCAAGAATCATGATGGACAGCGAGCTTGCTAGCGAGCAAGCTCGCTGTCCATCAATCATAATGGACAGCTAGCTTGCTCGCGAGATGTCTATCAATCATGATGGACCCCTATAACCAGTGGTGGGAAGTAGTATACATGTGCTTTGTTATTGTATTTCAGCAGATTATTCAAGTATCTGGAGTTTACGAGTGTATTTCTTTTTTAAGCCACTTTTTATTGTTAGATCCTACATTTCAAAACTGTGATCTGTACTTTTTCAAAATAAGTACATACATTTTTTTCATGGATCACAACAAGTAATAAATTTAAAAAAGGGCGACTCGAGAGTGAGGCAAATTTAACAGCGGTTGAGAACGGGTTAGAATGAGATCTTGGGGTCTTATACGGTTGACCAAATACAGGGATAGCATTGACATTTGGGAACATGAACTTGAGGTAATTAACTTTATGATGCAACAGATTCAGAGAAGCAAGATATTCCCCATCCATGGGCTCATTTAAGAGAATTTTAAATGTTGTAAGTTCCAAGAATGATTCCTAGCAAATATGTTGTCTTGTGCCAGCCTGAAAACAAATGAGTCTCTGGTATTTTAAAACATGCCTGTCTAATCAGCCAAAACAAATATATACAAAGTATCTTTTGTTTTTAGTTGCTCTCATTAGCTAAATTATGACTTTTTTTTTTTTTTTTTTGGTGAGTCAACTCTCAAACTGTAAGGAGGTTTTGGCACATTTTCTCTTCTTCTTGTCAGTGCAGCACTACACACGTTCAGAGAACAACTATTTTGCTATCAAAACAAATGGATTTCATCGACAATAAAAAATCGTTTTAAGGCTTGTACTGTGGTCCTAGTGTCCGCCACAGTACTTATGTACCTTTCAGACTCTGTATTTCGTATTTTTACTTTAATACAAGGGTCTGATCAGTATTTCTACTTTTGCCAAAGTCATTTTTGACCTACTTAGGCTCAAGTACTGCGTGTAAGTACATTCGCCATCTGATTCTCACTAGAAAAAAAATAGTACGCACTGGATGCGTAAAAGATGCATCTGTGCTTGTGAGCTGCTGTACTTACACATTGGGTGACATCCCTCTTGAGCTCATCAAATATCAGCTGTATGGACTCCACGTAAGGTTTCAAGTCCCTCGTGTCCTCCGACACCCCCGCAATGGCTGCCGGCAGAACTGTGGCCAGGTAAAAGTCCAGAATGCTATTCATGGCGTGGCAGGCAAATGGCGTCTGATCGAAAAACAGACAATTGTTATTGTCGTTTGCACCAAACGCAGATCTATGCAGCCGCGACACACTTGTAAGAAAACAGAGGAACGTACTCTAAAAGAGTCCTCGACAGTCTGGTCAAGCAGCGCGGTGTCCAGGTCATCGTTTGCTTCCTGTGTAAAAAAAAAAAAAAAAAAAAAAGAAAGAAAATGTGTCAGAGCGTGCGGGGGATTAGTCTGCACGATGCGGTCTTCGCAGACAGTCTGTACGTCTTGGTACTCACGTAAAAATCCCTGATCTGCACGTAGTCTTCTCGCAGCCTCCGAAGCCTGCCGGGGAAGCTCTCCACGAAGCGACAGCATTGGTTGTTGCACATGGGAGTGCACCACACTTTGCTGAGGTGAAACTGCGCGCTCAGGAACAGCAGTAGGGCCGAGAGACATCTGGTGCGCATGATGCTGGATACTTCTTTGGCTTTTCTTAAATTCGAGAGAAGTGATGGTGGAAGTGATGTTGTCTGCTTATTTCAAGTGCAATCTCTGGCTTTTTATATAGGCAAATTTGGACTGGGTGGGAAGTATGAAAAAAACGCTTAAAAATGCTTAAAACATGTGGAAAAGTTTTTTTCCCCCCCAGACTCATACATTACACACGGGCTACTCCCATTTCATTGGTGCAAATGGGTTTCATCTTCAAATGTCATGGGGGGAGGGGGGGTCTGGGGTGTCCCTAGATTTCGTCATTCCAAGAAGTCGTTTAGCGTAAACTTTTGTTGAAAATTGTACATTTGTACAATGACATTTTACACTGACTTGACCTCGGTTGTTGAACAAAGTGGTTTACAGTAAATTACTCTATTTAACACCCTTGTAATTGTCAGCCAGTTTCCCAGATCAATTCTGAAGCTTGCAATCACTCTGTTATTCCTCTCATGCTGTCATAAAACATTTGATTTGGGGTACAATTTTAGATGAAGCTATGGATTTGCATACTTGACATTTGTCTTTCGTGTTTCACGCCGAAAAAGTTTGCGGTGGCTTAATGCAAAGTATGACTCCATCCTGTGTTGTCAAGAACCCGTGTAAAAATGTACAATACAGCCGACCATTACATTGCCACCACAGCAAAAGTTGGACAATGCATAGACTGAGTGATATATTCCTGATATACTGTAAGTCACACCATAGCTTCAATTGAGACTTCAGAGTGTTTTTCTAGATATCATTTCAGCAACCCATGAAATTAGTGCTTATTTTGCTTTTGTAAATAACTTTTATTTATTTATTTTTTGCAACAGTAATGCCAAAAGAAGAAGCAGTCTTGAAGTGGGAATGTCAAAAGAAGAATATGAGAAGAGAAAACGAACATACTCGTACACCTCAAGTTCCGCAAAGTAAGCAACTTCTAATTTACATTAGCTGGAAAGTTGCTAATGGTGTAGTGGTGCACTCGCCTGACTTGTGTGTGGGTAGCATAGGATAGCTTCCCGCTCAGTGTTTGTGGGTGTGGATGGTTATCTGTCTGTTTATGTGCTCCGAGAGTGACACCGTGACACCGCTTCAAGATATGCGGTGCTGAAAATGGAAGGATGGATAACATTAGCCGCTAGCACTAGCTACTCTCTGTGTGTTGTTCTCTAAGGCAGTGTTTTATTGCGTTAGTTTAATTTAATACTTTTTTTTTTTTTTAACTCATCTCATTTTAAAAGCGGAGAGTAGAAAGTTGCTTGTCATTTCATCACAGCCCCATTCGTCATCAACGTTAAAAGAGTGCTTGGTGGTGTTTGGATGACAGTAGATAACGCCTTTATAAAATTGGGTACCAGTTAAAAATGCTAACATGTCACTTAAAGCATCGCCTGTACAGTTCGTAAAGATGTGATGATGGCAATGGTTGGCCCCTTTAACGGCTTACTCCATGAAATCAAAACCAATCAACCAGCATCCACAATTGACTGCATTCAACTTTAAAATGTTACACTGGACTGGAAAGGAAACAAGCACACATGCAGTGTGTTTTCCTTTCATTTTGTACTTTATGGGATGTCCCGTCCTTGTGCCCCGTGTCCCTGTCCACTGGGCCTCATTATTGAGTAACTTTGGTATTTTGAAGAGGTGATGGAAGTTTTACCACACACACCCCGTCCGTCTGCCAGTCGGGGTCAAGTTAGTGTTAAATAACCTGCTGACACGTGAGTCACACACAAAGTATAACTAGTTCTGAGCGCCAGTGTTGATGAATCTTCTCGCTGGGGTGATTAATGAACATTTTGGTCATATATGCAACGGTATCAACTTTTTGAAATATATGTTTAATATTACGTTTTCATATCCAACCCAGCCACTGGGGAGCAGTGCCCTACCCTGGGAGTACACTGTTCCCCAGTGCCGGTCCCAAGCCCGGAAAAATGGGGAGGGTTGCGTCAGGAATGGCATCCGGCGTAAAACTTTTGCCAAATCGAACATGCGAGTTGATATGCGGAGGACAGGGAATGATGGAATTTGATGACTCGCTGTGGCGACCCCTTAAAAGGGACAAGCCGAAAGGAGAAGAAGAAGAAGAATTACGTTTTCATATCCCAGTACCTAATACTGCTTCGCCAATATACTTTCAAGTTTAACATTTAAAAAACAAATAAATAAATAAATTACTCTGGTGTCACGTGAACTTTATGAAGCAATGATTTGAAATGCACTTTTTAATTTTTTCATGGATTAAACATTAGCTATCATTGAGGAAAAAAAAAATGTCGTTCCCGATGCCAGGTTAAATTCTACTCAGTGACACATCGGAAAGAAAGTGTTGGTATTGAATTTCAGAAATTTTTAGGTTGACTGTAAAGTTTATCCCCGAAATGGTAAACATCACCTTTCTGTGAAACACCTTCCACTAAAACTGAAAGTATTTGTCATTTGAAATACCTGATGCTTGTGTATAAAGGCACATAACATTCAAACCGTTATTATCCAAGTAGCTGTGCGATAATTCAAGCCTGCCTTAATGAGGACAAGGGATGAAGGAAATGGATAATTCTAGTACATCAAAACAAAAGTCAAGGTGTGTCATCTAATAATCTGTTCGTGGGAAACCCAAGTTTGCATTTTTGCACTCATCATTTTGTCGTTTAAATTCACGCATTGCTGCGGTTGATAAATTTTAAGCTGTGAGTCACACTCTTTTTCCCTCCAATGCATTCTTCCTACTTTCAAGGAACTTCCTATTGGCTTGGTCAGAAATTTAAAAATTATGACGATGCACTTGGTCATCGATACAGTATATTCTGCAATTTAAGTGATATTTTCCAAAAAGTTTAGATTTTAAACAGAAATTTGAACATGTTCAACAAAAGTCATTTCGTAATGGGGCTCTGATCTCGGTTTGGAAAAGAACCTGACGTATTGGCTGTATGCGTTACTGTGTGCTACGCAGTGTTCTTTTGCTGTGCCTCAAAATCTGCTGAGGATGTGTGACTCACACGCATGTGATGCAGAAACTGAATGGGAACACTGAACGACGTCACCGCTCATTTTAAACATTGCGGTTGTGAACGTTTATAGCGCAAGTGTCTTGCCCGTGACTTGTTGTGGGTCAAATGTGCATTGCATGCTATGCACGTTTTCCACCTTGTCGTGCGTCACGTTTGCTGTTGCAGCTGCCAGTGTAACATATTTCACTGCACATGTAAATTTGACTGACATGTTTCATAAACACAAAAATGGAGATGTTATAGGCGACCCGGAGGTCCACAGTGGTTAGCCTGTCGACCTCACGGTGCCGATGTCATGGGTTCAATCCCGGTTGCATGTTCTCCCCGTGCCTGCGTGGGTTTTCTCCGGGTACTCCGGTTCCCTCCCACATTCCAAAAACATGCATGGCAGGCTGATTGAACACTCTAAATTGTCCCTCGGTGTGAGTGTATGTGCGCGGATGGTTGTTCGTCTCTGTGTGCCCTGCAATTGGCTGGCAACCGGTTCAGGGTGTCCCCCGCCTGCTGCCCGAAGACAGCTACAATAGGCTCCAGCACGCCCCGTGACCCTATATAAAGCGGATCAGAAAATGGATGGATGGATGGAGTCATTATAAAGGTCACTAAATAGAATGTAAATACAGTACGAGAGAATAAATGAGAGACTTTAAAGCATGCCGCCTCCCTGTTTCGGATTTGTATTTGATTTGTACATTCCCAGAAATTCATCATCAAACTGGAAACAATTAGCGCGCTGTTTTCTTAGCGCATCTGCGGCAGAGCACAAATGCTTGCCGATCCGTGCAAGGCTTGCTGCACGCGTTTGCCAATTTGGCGGATCGTTTTGCGCCAAGCTGCGCATTCCGGTGCAGCCGAGGGCGTGGCCCTGGAGAAGTGCCTGGCAGAGTGACAAATTGGTGGCAGAAAGTTGATCTAAACTCACGCCTGCTCAGACCACGTCTAGGTCTTGAGGCAGAACGGATCTGGCGTAATGTGATTTTGGTTAATTCGATCGGGGGCACAGGCAGACAGATTTATATTATCTGTCGTCACATCACGGCCAGAACTGTGACAAAGCTCCACGCACACACAAAGTGCTGCAATTACGCAAGGTTCTCCTTCACACAGAGAATGATGCTCTGCTGCCATCCGAGAGCGTGAGTCCGCCCATTTAAAGGGAATCAAAGAAAATTGGCTTTAAACACTCCACGCGGCTCGCTCGCTGTCAGATCCTCCGTCCTACGCTCGTCCACAGAATTACCAACATCGGTCTAACCTGCCTCTGGTGCAAAGTTGCGCCCTCTGCCGCACGTCATTTCTACCGTTCAAGAAAATAGAGCCCTTTTGTGTTTTGCAACATACTGTCATGAATACGTCACGCTAGCAATGTAGGCGCTGCGGCTCAGATCGGTTTATTTTCCGTGCACGTTCATACCACGCATGTCTTGTGCACCTTAGTGAGGGGCGTGGCTTTGGTCAGAGATTTGAGGGGTCTGGCGGGGGGGGGCAGTGAAGCTGCATCATTCAAATCTTGCTTGCAGTTGGAAAACTGCAAACTCCCCCTTTCAATACATTCTCAGAAAAAACATCATGAGAGGGACTTCCTCCGAAACCTTTTTTTTTTTTTTTCTTTTTTTTTTTTTTTTTTTTTTTTGCAGAGTTGAGCAAGCAAATTGCTGTTATGAAATGTGACCTGAAAATAATATTGAGCTCTGTTTTGCTGAGTTAGTATCCTTTTGAGGGACAAGAGTTTCTCTTGGTCAGAATTCAGACTTTGACCTCAAATTTCCAGACAGAGAATGTTCTTTCTTCTATTCTATTCTATTCTATTCAGGTGAACGCACATTTTTCGGCAGCATCTAACTTTGTTTACAAAGATGTCATCGGATGAAAGTTCTCATTATTTATTCACCTAAATTCTCAATCTTTCCTCGAGTTTCTTTGAAGTATACGAAGGAAGTAAATCACCAAATGACTGCTTTTTCAAAAATGCTCAGCTCTCCTGCGTATTCTATTCATCTGAATTGTCGATTCATCAGCAACCCGTTTTCTACAAATAGTAGTTTTTAGGAAATGTGACTGTGTACAACGTGAGGTCACACAACGGTTTCGGGGGCGGGTTGGAAATAGTACTCTTGACATCAAAGGATGTTATGATCGTGCTGTCATTGTCAGTAATGAATCTGGAGAAAATACTCCAGGAATGCATTTGTAATGCAATATGAGTCACCATACATGTGAGTCAAGAAACTCCTGAAAAACTCTTGGAAAGTTTGTTTTGCTTTTGCAGGTGACTGAAAAATAGATCGATGTGTATGTATATATATATATATATTTTTTTTTATTTTATTTCTTTTTTCTGGTGTGTGTATATATAGAGCCCTATTTTCATGGCCAGCACAAGTTGAGCATCAAGCGCCGGTGAACTGTGCACATGGGTCGAGCTTTCCTTAATTAAAAAAAAACTCAAATGGGTTGAGAAATCACCTTCAATGTCAAACTAGGAGCTCTTAAATTGGAAAAGCTCATGTCAATTCAAATGGCCATTTAAGATTACGGTGCTACAAATGATGACAGTAATTAAGTTTGCATTTGCTTCCAGTACATACTGTCGGCATTTTATCTAGAGATGAATAGATAGATGGGGAGATGGCTACAACATTGTTCAAGTCATAGTTTACCTCTTATAGCCAATACACTGTATCCACACAAGTATTTTGCGCTTTAGCACCCTCTGCTGTACGGATAAGGTTGAAGTGTGTGTATGTGTGTTTGTGCGTGTGTGGGAGTGTGTGTTTGCATTATTACACCGTGTGATGTTAAGTGTCGAGGGAAGCGCTTGTGGTCGCGCCGTGTGAACCACTTCAGCGCAGTCATGCTTTGGTTTCACTTAAGGGGTACATTGTAGAGAGTACGTTTTCTCAGAAGTGGACATCTTATCCAGGTAATTGTGAGACATCAGTACTTCTTGTCAAAAATGGGAGCAGCTTGTCACAGAGGTATGTCTTGTCGGCTTGTATTCAGTTTTGTATGGTAGTTGTTCCTTGAAAGTACGACTATCATCATCATCGCATTGGCGTTTCATGAAAAAGCCTGTTAGCCATAGTTTATTCATTCATGTCGAAAGCTTGTAAAAACTTAAACAATAGAACAATTCACATGTACAAGAAAATAAAATTCCACCCCCCTATAAAAATAATGCACAAACAATTGCTAGAGTTCGGACATAATCTGGAACAGAATGGGATACCACAAACATAAAAAAAGATAAGATTTTGACAGTTTATTGAGTTTCTTACCATGTCCAGATATCGGCCTCATTATTTCCAGTCTTTCATGACTTCTGGGACAGTCAGAGACTCTGCTCGAATCCGACTGTGTTGGGTCGTACTCTCATTGTTCCTGTATCCGACCATCTCCCAGCTCCATTGGTTCTCCCGCTGGGATGACAGGCACAGGGCTTGGTCGGTGTTCTTGCTTGGAGGGGCCTCTGTCGACGCGGAGAATCTCTGATGTAGCACAGGTGTGCTCCATTCCACATTCCCGGCGTCTCTCCATCAAGCGGTTCTCCAGATATTTGGCCCAACTAATGAGTTCCTCCAGGTTGGTGATGTCATCATGGACAGCCAACTCATCTTTAAAGGCGGGAAATGCTATGTAACGCGCAGTCGTCAAATCCACTTTCTGCCGCTAGTATACGAAACGAAATGGAGTAGTCAACAACAGACTGACTACATTCAACACGGTCAAGCAATTGTCCTCTGGCCTCCCTTCCTCGGACTGGGTGGTGGAACAGATGGTGAATTTCAGTCATAAAGTAGGTGGGGGTAGGTGCATGGTTGCCGGTCAAAAATTAGACTGCACTGATGAATAAATTGACCGCGACCGTGGCTGGATACACCCTAACGGTAGTCATACGAGCCCCTGTGGGTGGGGTCCTACGGCTGCCGAACTGTTCAACATAGGAACCCAATTCCTCGAACCGTGTGGTCTCCTGCTGGCTCACCAGTCGTCCTTGGCCTTCCCTTACCCAAGTCTACAGGATCCGTAGTCAGATCATTCTGTCAGAGTTCCGGAATAATCCGGAACAGAAAGAGATCCCACAAATGTAGACGAGGATAAGATTTTGACAATTGTTTATTAAAGAAAAAAAACGCAAGATCGACAAAGTACAATAAAAAACGCTGGTAACACTGAACCAGGATAGAATGAGACAACCAAAAACCGCTTGCAATATGCGAGAAAAAATAATAATGCAAAATCCCTTGTCACAAAAGGACAGAGAACAGTTACGTGAACAAGAAGCAACCAAGATAAAAACAAAATACAAAATGTGATGAGAGAACTACAAAGATCATAGATGTCTAGAAATTACAAGCACTTGGTATGAGAATTGTGAGCAAGACTGAATTATTCGTCCTTGAGCTCTCGGCTTGGCAGTCCTTTTTAAGTCGGATAATGATGATGATGAACAGGTGCGGCACTGGAGGGAACGCCCTCCGATCCCGCCTGCTCTGAAATTTTCAACACAGCTTATCATGAAGCGGTCGCGGCAGGGTGCTGGAGCCTATCCCAGCAGACTTTGGGCGAAAGGCGGACTACACCCTGAACTGGTCGCCAGTCGGTCGCACGGCACATATAGAGACCAACAACCATTCACGCCCACATTCATATCATCACTGAGTGGGAACCGATCTCACTGAAGTCAGGCCAGTCACCACACGATCAGTGACTGCAAACAGAGGCTTGAAAACAACAATGCTCATCGTCCAGATCCATTGTTAATGAAAATACACAAAAAAACATACTAGCAGATTTTTTTTTTCCATTGTATTATTTTCTTTACCAAGTGGTAAAAACGAATATATCTGCAATGTTTGGGCATTAGGAAATTTGTTGCATTGCATAATTTGGCATTGAAACAAACAAATTTAAATTATTAAATTATCAACATATGAGATAAAGTGTATAAAAATAAACACATTAAATTAATTCAAGTATTACGTACAGAAATGTCAAATGTCACAGTTCAGTTAATATTTGCTGTTTTAGGGGTTATTTTGGGGCTGATGCCTGGTCCACTTCGTCCAGCCAATCCAGTAGTGTATCCAACTCCGCTACGGCCTTCTTTGCCGCCTTGTCGGTGGACAGCTAGGTTGGGTAACAACAAAGGCAGGGAGTGAGGACATTAAAAAAAAAAGGGGCTACAGTCGTATTTAGACAAGTATGTTATGAAAACCCTAAAAGGAGGCACACATATTCAGAATCCAACCGACATCTCCCGCAAAGACTGACTTGGTAGTGAAGATGAGTGTCGTGCGCATTTGGTTTGTGAAGCAAAATGAAAGGACTGTTACCTTGGTAAACTCCGTTTCCAGAGAGTCGATTGCTTTGTGCGTCTCCTCGTTGCAGAGGCAGTGCTGAGGGGAGAAGACGAGAGTGATCATTCATCATTGTGAGCAATTCGTTCGATGTCCTACTTGTGCGCTGATTGTTCAGGGAATACTTTTCCTTTCAGTGCACAAGTAGGATGACGAGGGCGCACAAGTACGACAACAACGTGCCGGTTGTGAGGCAAAAATGTGCGCCAGTGTCGCCACGCTTATCTTCAAAATGTACCTTAGTTCATGCTTCTGATTACTTGTTTTGCCGCTGAATCGTACATTTTTAACAGCAGCACTTAAGAATAAAGTTTGCTTTTATTAAAAATGAAAAAAAGGGAACCTTTTTGACTTTAACTATTATTCAAAGAAAAAAAAAATTCTGGATTTCACTGAATATTAATTAGCTACTTGTGTCTATTATTAATTTTTTTAATTGTAATTTATTATTATTAAATAGATGCTTCACTTAACAGATTTTTTTTTTTTTTTTTGGGTGGGAAATGAAATCCATGTTTGCCGCGGAGCATACTTACACATTTGTTGATATTCCGTTTCATGGCGACAAACGCATTGGCCAGGGCGCTGCAGCTGCGTTGCTCCTGTGGCTGATCGCCGGCAAAGTTGCGGAACACCCTCTCCACGTAGAAGCGTAGGAGCAGGCGCAGGAAGCAGCATGTCTGATCATCCTGAGAAAGTCCAAAAGGTTACATCACCAAACACGCACGTGCTGTGTGTAACTCTCGGAACTTTCGCTTTTGAGCAACGATCCAACCCAGAAACAGACTCACCTGAACGTCTCTCATTGCCGTTATGCTCAGAATCCTCACTCCAATCTCCGTGTCTTCTCGAATCTGACATCAGACCCAAACGAGATAAGATTACACCTCCACACCTATCACACGATGGGATTTTTTTTTTTCAATCTCCACACCTATCACACGATGGGATTTTTTTTTTGCAGAGGGGTACAGCGTGACAGACGTACCGCTTTCAAGCGTATTTCGGAGTAATATCTTCGTAGCTCCGGCATGTGGACGCTGAAGCTGCAGTTGTTGACCAGCGACAAGGTGAGCGCAGGTTTGGCCGCAAGGCCGAGCAGGAGACAGAGCGAGAAGCAGAGCGAGCTTTTCATCATTGTGGTCGTCTGGCGAGGAGACACAGGAGACACTTAACAAACACCTTAAAGTGTAAAATTTTCAAGTCAGTCATTCATGGTTACCGCAGCCGATTATTTTGCGGGGTAGGTGTACTTTATTTTTTTTTCCGCTTTAATTTCAACAAATGCAGATTTTTAATTTTTTTTTTAAATCCATTCGTGGGAGCTACAATATTGACTCTCACAAACAAAACGATGTCTGGAAGCTGTCTTAACGTAGAAGGCTTGTCATTCATCATTCTCATGTTAGTGATGCTCAGCAGGCATCAGCAGTGCTCACCTGTGCGTTCACCTGTATTCCGGGGATGAATCCAAGGTGTGTGTCTGTGTGCCTCCATGCTGTCTCTTCTTATAGTGGAGCAAAGGGGATTTTAGCAACAATAGTAGTTTCCGCTCTAAAAATCGGAGTAGGAGGAAGTGTCGAAAGAGGCACCTCATTTAAATTCACCAAATGAAGTTTTCCTTCCCCCCCCAGGCTGATATCAAAATATCTTACACAATTATTGAATGACTCATGCGTATAATGACATCATTGTTCTGAGCTAATCGCATTGGTTCTGGTTCGGCAGTATGGCACCAGCAGTCGTTGAGAAAACTGTCGTGCCTGGGTCCAAGCCCAACATTTATTTTTTGAATTTTTTGATTTTATTTTTTTTTTTGAATTTATTTTTTTTAACCGGCGTACCCCAAGTTAGCCACATTTTAGAACCCCCTCACTATTGTCTAATACGTTTGATATGCATTGTCAATGAAGTGTTTTTTTTTTTTTTTTGCAGTAGAAGCAGGCTTGAGACTTTACTGTAGTCAGACAAGTTCGGATTGGAAACACCCAGTCGACTTGCTGGACTGCAAAATTCACGGGATGAATTTTTCCAAAAAATTCACTTGTGTTGGAAGGTGTCACGAGCAGACACTTTTTTTTCTTCGTTATGGCTGACTGCTGAGCTGGACGAGGCAAGGATGTGCCCTATCTTTTGCCCAAATTTAGCTGGCATAGGCCCAGGCTCGCCACGATTGTGACAGGATAATCGCTCTAGAAAATGAGTTGAATGGATTTCCCCCCCGTCTTGATTCATCAACCTCTTGTGTGCAGTCAGTGGTGGATCATTATTAAAAAGGGGTTGGGGGGCATTTGGAGGGTTTGTTGAAAGGTTGGACTGTAAGTAGAACGGCCTGAAGCACTTTTGTCATAATATGTCTAATAAATGAAAGTAATCCGGGATGTTCTATCAAGGAACCCATCACACCTTGGAACTTGGAACACATATATTTTTGATTTCTGAAGGAGCACAAAGTAATCCTTTTGTTCATCTCGGGGTTGTTTGTCAAACCTTTAGTTCACCTATGACGGCACTTCTGCTTCACAGTTCGGAGTTTCGTGGTTCCCATCCTAGCTTCTGCCTTCCTGTGTGAAGACTTTATGCTCAGCTCAGTTGTCTCAAAGTGAAACTTGTCTTGCAGACATTTTAAAGAGTTAAGACAGTTGAACAGAGGTTGGAAGAGTAGCTGAAAAAGATGTACTGTTTCCCCTTCGAAAAATTTTCACTCAAGTGAGTCAAATGTAGTCCTCCAAATCATGGCTTGAATATCCATCCATCCATTTTCCCCATCCGCTTATCCTCACGAGCGTTGCGGGCGTGCTGGAGCCTATCCCAGCCGTCATCGGGCAGTAGGCGGGGGACACCCTCAACAACTGGTTGCCAGCCAATCGCAGAGCACACATAAATGAACAACCATCCGCGCCCACACTCACGACACTAGGGACAATTTAGAGTGCTCCATTAACCTGCCATGCTTGTTTTTGGAATGTGGGAGGAAACTGGAGTACCCGGATAAAACCCACTCAGCCAGGGGGAGAATACTCCAAATTCTCCCTAGGTGTGAGTGTGAGTGTGAGTGCGGATGGTTGTTCGTCTCTGTGTGCCCTGCCATTGGCTCGCAATGCCTTCAGGGTGTCCCCCACCTACTGCCGGAAGACAGTTGGGATAGGCTCCAGCATGCCCTGCGACCCTTGTGACGATAAACCGAATAGAAGATGGATGGATAGATGGATGGATGCAACTAGACAGCCAAAATAGTAATTAGTGTCTAACAGAAACCCCCCCACCAAAATAGCTCAGTGATGGCACTTCCTGGTGACCAAGTTTTTTGATAAAGTGAAGTATTTTTCGTAGCTGTTTCATGGTACCTAAGTTGCACTCGAACCATAGGTGTGTGTGTGTGTGGTGTGTGTGGGGGGTGGGGGTGGGGGGGCTGGAGGCCTTCTATATCCGCTGCCTGCAAAAGATCCTTGGCCTGTCCTGGGAAGATAGAGTTCACCATACAGACATCCTTAAAAGCACCAATTCGGTGGATTGGACACACCATCCGCATGCCCGACAACCGCCTGCCCCGCCAGATCCTCTATGGCCAACTGAGAGGTGCAACACGTTTTGCTGGGGGGCAAAAGCGGCACCTTAAGGACTACACCAGGGACCTCCTAAAGCGAGCCAACATCAACCCACGCAGCTTGAAACGTTGGCACTCAACAGACCAACCTGGCAGATCACTTGTGCCACTACAGTTTCTCAAATACACCAAACTAACCAAGACAGACGAACCGAGAGACGCATTCAACGACACCAGCGGGCAGCTGGTACCCCCCCCCCGGTATCCGGGTTCCCTTGCTCCATCTGCGGACGGGTCTGCGGCTCAAGGATCGGACTCTATGCCCACGAGAAGTGGCACCAGCGACAGTGTCGCTGACCCCCCTGCATCGTCCCCTCCCTTGTCCATCAAACATGATGGACAGCTATGTGTGTGTGTGTGTGTGTGTGTGTGTGTGTGTGTGTGTGTGTGTGTGTGTGTGTGTGTGTGTGTATAGGGGTGGGGGGGGGCGGAAAAGGGTAGAGTGCCCTCGCCAGGTCAGGGATGAGAACCTGCCACATGTGAAGGAGTTCAAATATCTTGGCCTCCTGTTCATGGGTGAAGGATGGAACAGGACCAAAATTGAATTGTTTAATAAAGTGAACAAAAAGTCTCATCGCTTTGTATTTCTGTTCATTTGTCCATCTGCGTGTTATTTAGCATGCCGCTTCCTGGTTTATGGAGGGTCACCAACAGACGTATCCTTATTATCTCCAAATCCTCACCAATTTTTTTCTTCCTTGTCGGAAAGATTATCCTTATTATCTCCAGATCCTCACCAATTTTTTTCTTCCTTGTCGGAAAGATCTCCCTGCTGTTCCTGTCTGGACACGTGCAGCAGCATTGTGGACCGGCTGGAGATTCATACTCATCTGTGACATGGACACTTTTTTGTTTTGTTTTCTTTTCTTTTGTTTTTTTTTTTTGGCATCTTTTTGCATCACCGAGAAAAGTACGTTTGGTTACAAAACAGCGTGGGTGCTGTGTGGGCGAAAAAGGTCTTTCCCTGACATTTACATTGCGTGGGAACATTCGTGGCAATGGTGCTGCTGCAAAAGGTTGTATGGGTGCTTTGGGCGTTGATTTTATTCGATTGCATAACTATATCTTTTGGTGAAAAGTTTCTAAGGTGTCTTGAGCCAAGTGCAGTTGCACAGGACTGAAGGATTTGGTGGTGTAATTAAGTACGATACATCTTTATTTTTATTTATATGCCGCTTGCACATCAGCTGCAGCTGTGACAAATCGCTTTACAGAACTTGTTACATAAAATAATTTTTTATAATACAAAACAACACATAAATAAGACATGGACAGTCATGCAATCATCATCACATTTCAGCATACGCCTTGTTTTGGAAGCAGTTAAGAGATGAAAGAGGAGAGAATCATTTGTTTAAAAAAAAAAAAAAAACTCATCCCCAAATGGGCGTCTGGATCGATAAAATAAAAAATGTAAAAATCGAAACGTAATCTGAAAATTCATAACTCCGACAATGAGCATTTCATTCAACCAAGGCTTAATTTAAATACCGTATTTAAAAAAATGTTGCCACTTTTGCATAATGACAAAAAAATGAAAAATATACATAATACTTTGGGAACGAAGAAAGTTCAAAATAGTGTGGAAAAAACAAGACTTTTGTACCTGGACAAATTTAAAAGATCATATTTATAAAAATGATGAATCAGCATATTTGACTTTTCCTCACTTTATTTCATTCGTTTAGTATCATTGACTTTTGTTTCTTGCTTTATACAGGTAGTGATGTGTCCTTATTATCTTATGATTAAAAAAAAAATCAGGACGACACTTTTTTTTTTTTTTTTTTTTTAATACAGCGGACGGTACACTTGATTGGCAGCAAGGCTACTGAAATAGCAAAAAAAAAACCCTTCCTGATCTCAAACTTGGTACGACCAAAGATGGCAACTTTCCTACCATTGTGACTCTTTGGCAAGTCCAAAGCCTTATGAATACCAAAGTGGTTGAGTTGCAGACCCAATATGTAGCTGGGGCTTTATTTGTTTTAATTTATCAATCGACAACACAACAGACAGGACTGCTTTTTAGTTTTTTTGAAATTTTTTTTTCTTCCCATTTCAGATGAGCTGACAGTGTTTTGTCATGTACTTGAAAGTCAAAACAAGAACAAATATGTTTTCAATAAAGCTTGCTCGTTCGTATTGAAGGTATTAAGCATCATTTCAATTCAACACTGAGCATTTGTTAACACGTTATCACCCAACCACTTTCAATTGCTTTGCTCACACATTGTGTTCTCGTTGTTAGCGATTAGCCGTAAATGTGTCTGCGTTTGTTGTGGCGCAAGTGATGTCATCACTTGCCACGCTGCACTTTCTGCGCTGTCCTACCTGTTCTGCAAACACTTAACTTTCACTGCCGCATAGAAAAGGAGAGAAAGTGTCAATTTTACATGCAACTTCATGTTGTTATAACATCCATCCATCCATTTTCCGATCCGCTGATCCTCACAAGGGTCGCGGAGGTTGCTGGAGCCTATCCCAGCTGTCTTCGGGCACCAGGCGGGGGGCACCCTGAACTGGTTGCCAGCCAATCGCAGGGCACACAGAGACGAACAACCATCCGCGCTCACATTCACACCTCGGGACAAT